TTGGTGCTGTTACACAAAAATGACGTTAGGCTAAACGTGAATTATATTTTTTTGTTAAATTCTATCAGTCGAATTGGTGAGTGTGTGGCTGGGTGAGTGAATGAGTGAGTGGCTGGGTGAGTGAGTGAGCGAGCGAGCAAGTGGAGTGAATTGATCAGTGCTCGATCATCATTCATCCTGATTGCCGCTGCACTCCAAACCCTATCCGGTGCAGCAATGGGGAACAAAGTGCTCCAACCAAAGCGTGATAACAGGAATCCAGCTGATGGTGATAATGGTGTTGATGTTGATTGAGCGGTTTGCTTTTGCGATTTCAATTCGAAGCGTGCATGAATACGGATGGGTGTATGTTTGACATCATCAATCATCATCGCGATCCATGGGAAGATAGTCCGGGGGTGCACATTTCGTCACTGAATGTCGAAAGCAGTCCATGCCTATACACATCTGTATGCTGAACTTCTTTCGCACCGTATGTAGCCAACCGTGCTATTCGGAGGTGCGGGGGAAGTACAACAATCTAAACACAAACCAATCAGTTCTTGATGATGATTTGAAAGTGCATTGCTCCCAGTGACTTCCCAATATCGGAAGGAAGAGCGTTCCAGACGGCCGCAGAACCAGCGCATCTGAAAGCGCCGCGCGATGATGCGGTGACCGCCGTCTTTGTTCCAAATATCCGCCGTTGCTGCTGCGAGGATGAGCGGAGCTCGCGAAACGTCGGACATCAACGCCGTGGCACAGCCACACAACGCGCCGGCGAGAAGCAGCTATTGCTACAACAGCAGCGCAACCGCAACAGCCTGCGGCAGGCGGTAATGAACGCTAGAACGCAGTTCCGTGTTGCTCTAACCAGCCCGCCCTTTAACGTGGCACGCGCGTTCCATGCCGAGCGCTGGCGAGCGTCGTTGCGATGTGACACGGCGATCTGCACACGCGGGTTATGATTTTTTTTTACTTTACCCGAGCTCTGTGTGTGTGTGGGGGGGGGGGCAGGATATATGCCCCCCCCCCACCCTCCCACCAAAGTCGTATAAACCCTAATCCGGAACGTTTTTGTACCATGAGCAGATGATGTCTCTTCGCGATGTGGAATTCAATGAGATTACGGCACTTAGGGCGAGACTCGAGGGGTGTGATTACGCGCGCGCATACGCAGAGACAAAGATCTCCGTTGTAGCCTTTGACGGACTGTTGGGGTAAGTGCCTTTCGCGAGCACCTATGCACACGCGCGCACAAAGACAAAAACAAAGATCCCCCGTATAGCCTTAACAGACTGTCAGGGCAAGTGCTGTTAGCGAGCACCTATGAAGGCCGGCACGGCACACGAGGGGGTTGGTGGCCAACACCACGCCCGGCCGCCTTTGCCTCCCTAGTGGCGATGTTTACACACCGCACCAGATACTCATTTGAGGCTGAAGCCTCAAATGAGTATCTGGAAGCCCAAGACTGGTTCAGATAATCGTCACCGGTGTTGGCCGTGAGTGGGAATCGAACCCGGGTCACCAGGTTCGTAGCGCAGCACGCTAACCGCTACACTCCCGCTCCCTACACACACACACACGTAAACACGCATGCGAGGCTAACGTGCACACAGATATGCACATGCACGCACACGGATGACGTGCCCTATTAATCAGACGCAACTCGCGTTTTCGGTAAAGACTCAAGCCTTATAACCGAGCTGTCAGCCAAAGCCACGCGTGCTTTTTGACCTCTGTGTTCCGAGTTTGTGTTTCACTCCCAGATTTCTGTTGTTGTTGTAAAACTGAACCCTCATTAAAACTGTCACTTACTCCCGAAATCGGATCCGGCGTCTCCTTTGCCCCATGGTGTGTGCTATGGGATGTGGTCTTCAACCGGGGATCACACGAATACCCCTAGGGTACGTGGCAATGTCCCAGGGGGGTACACGAGATGATTTATAAATATGTGGAATTATATCATACGTGTGAGTCATTGGTGAATAATCATGTAGGCATTAATTTATATAAAATAATTGCGATATAATTTTAAAAAAAAGTTGCTATGGGAACCCAGAACGACATTAAGGACCTTTCTAAACTCGCTGATGGTAAACATTGCGGGTTTCAAAGAAGAACCCAGCGAGCGCCAACAAATTGCGTCACGCGTGCAGAGCGTCCCTTGGATATTTGCGTTGTTGGCGTTCGCTTGCAGTTACGAGCAAGCTCGATAGGAGACCTCACAATGTGGACAATTGGTTCCGATATATTGGCGTTCATTATTCGTACATTTATTTATCATAACCATGTTGGGTCAGAGCAAGGGGAGTACTCGGTTGGAACAAATTTCAACAAGGGGGTACAGCAGTAGCCAAGAAAGGTTGAGAATAACCACCGTGGGATGTTGGTAGTGGTGGAGACGGCGCGGGGTGGAGGAGAGATGGGGGGGTCGCCGTGGTTGGTACAGGAGGACGTGGCAGGGCTGAGTGGACTTGCCGATGACCGGTGGATCCAACGACTGTGTCAAGATCGGCCTCTGTGGAGCAGGAGGAGGCTCGTGAAGGACTCTACCAGGGGCAGTTGGAGGCAGTCTCACTCCAGCAACAACGGAGGGCGGTGGAGAGACTCATAACAACGAGCGAAGCGCCGGGCGGATAAAATACAGAGAGCGAGCACAGTGGGTAGCACAGTTAGTGCATCTGACAATCTTCTCAGTCACTGAACCCATGGCACCTGGGTCTGTTCCATGACCTGTCAGCGGGCCTTCGACACTTCACGTGGCCTCAAAGTGCACCTGGCATGGCACAAGCGCCGTAGTGTCGTCACCGCCACGTAGTGGTGAATGGCGATGGTTGTTGTTGGCAATGGTGGTACTGCTGCTAGTGGTGGTGCTAGTGGTGGTGGTGGTGGTGCTGATAGTGGTGCTGGTGGTGGTGGAGATAGAGGTGGTGCTGCTGGTGGTGTTGGTGTGCTGCTAGTGATGGTGGTGGTGCTGATAGTGGTGCTAGTGGTGGTGCAGCTGCTAGTAGTGCTGGTGGTGGTTGTGCTAGTGGTGGTGCTGGTGGTGGTGCTAGTGGTGGTGCTAGTGGTGGCGGTGCTGGTGGTGGTTGTGCTAGTGGTGGTGCTAGTGGTGGTGCTAGTGGTGGTGCTGCTAGTGGTGGTGGTGCTAGTAGTGGTGGTGCTTCTGCTCGTAGTGGTGGTGGTGCTAGTAGTGGTGGTGCTAGTGGTGGTGGTGCTAGTAGTGGTGGTGGTGCTAGTAGTGGAGGTGGTAGTAGTGGTGGTGCTAGTGGTAGTGGTGGTGCTAGTGGTGGTGGTGCTAGTCGTGGTGGTGCTAGTGGTGGTGGTGCTAGTAGTGGTGGTGGTGCTAGTAGTGGTGGTGCTAGTGGTGGTGGTGCTAGTAGTGGTGGTGCTAGTGGTGGTGGTGCTAGTAGTGGTGGTGCTAGTGGTGGTGCTGCTAGTGGTGGTAGTGCTAGTGGTGGTGGTGCTAGTCGTGGTGGTGCTAGTGGTGGTGCTAGTCGTGGTGGTGCTAGTGGTGGTGCTGCTAGTGGTGGTGCTGCTAGTGGTGGTGCTGCTAGTGGTGGTGCTGCTAGTGGTGGTGCTAGTGGTGGTGGTGCTAGTAGTGGTGGTGCTAGTGGTGGTGGTGCTAGTAGTGGTGGTGCTAGTGGTGGTGCTTCTGCTCGTAGTGGTGGTGGTGCTGCTGTGCCTGTGTGTGTGTGGAAGGCGGCGCTGTGTGTCTCGGAGTCTGCGCCGTGCGTTGGCGTCATCTCGAACCTGTGAGCTCATTCCCGAGACGAGGGATAACTAAATAAATAAATAAACACTCCCACGCCGTGCGGCTCACGGCCCCAGCGGTCTCTCACTCGCCAGGACCACTCAGACGACGAAGAGAGACAGAGAGAGAGAGAGACACGGAGAAAGAGACAGAGAGACATACAGACAGAGACACGGAGAGAGATAGAGACAGAGAGAGACACAGAGAGAGAGAGAGAGACAGAGAGACATACAGACAGAGAGAGACACGGAGAGAGAGAGAGAGACACGGAGAGAGAGACCCGCAGAGAGAGACAGAGAGTCATTGGTAGAAGGAGCAACTCACACGCTCAAATGACGCAGCGAGCAGATTGGACGACGCGAGTGCGTAGATAAATAATTAATTTATTCCGCATCACGGAGAGAGGCGAGGGAGTGGCGCACACGGAGGAGGAGGCCATCCCGACACCAGTGTCGTACAGAAACACACATAGACACATAGACACATACATAGACACACATAGACACATACACACACATAGACACTCAGAGACACATACACACACATAGACACTCTGAGACACATACACACACATAGACACACATACACACACAGAGACACATACACACACATAGACACACAGAAACACACATAGACACATAGACACACAGAGACACATACACACACATAGACACACGGAGACACATAGACACACATAGACACACAGAGACACATACACACACATAGACACACGGAGACACATAGACACACAGAGACACATACACACACATAGACACACGGAGACACATAGACACACAGAGATACATACACACAAATAGACACACAGAAACACACATAGACACACAGAGACACACAGAGACACATACACACACATAGGCACTCAGAGACACATAGACACACATAGACACACAGAGACACATACACACACATAGACACTCAGAGACACATACACACACATAGACACTCAGAGACACATAGACACACATAGACACACATAGACACTCAGAGACACATAGACACACATAGACACACAGAGACACATACACACACATAGACACACAGAGACACATACACACATAGACACTCAGAGACACATACACATACAAAGACACATACACACACATAGACACTCAGAGACACATAGACACACAGAGACACACACACACACATAGACACACAGAGACACACACAGAGACACACACAAATATACATACAGAGACAGACACAGATACAGAGACACATACAGAGACATACACACATAGACAGATATATACATACAGAGACAGACAAAGATACATACATACACACATAGACACACAGATACACGTAGAGACGCATACAGAGATATACAACATACATACGTACAAAACATACTCACACGCACAGATATTCACACGCTTGTACATACACGCGCATACGGATACACATACGGACAACACCAATCCACACACACCCCCACACACACACACCCACACACACACCCCCCACACACACACACACACCCACACACCCCCCCCCCCCCACACACACACACACACCCACACCCCCATACACCCCCACACACACACAGACCCATTTCATCAGAACCGCCGAGCGATGTCGGGAGAATCTCCGCCTGCAGAGGAGACGGCGCGGATGATGGGGGGCGAGGAGGAGGAGGGGGGGAGCGAGGCCGTGGCGGAACGAGGAGACCCCGCGGTGGAGGGAGAGGGCCCCCTCGTGAGAGCCGTGATTTTGTCGGGCTTCGGGGGCCCCTCTAAGCTGGGGGTCTCGCGGCAGACCGCGGCTTGCCCGGGCCCCGGCGAGCTGCGAATTCTCGTCAAGGCGTGGTAAGGACCCGACGTTTATTTACATCGGCGGAGTGTTGTTGTTGTTGCGCCGCGTGTTGTGGCGCAGTGGTTGGCGCACTGCGCTACGAACCCCGAACATCAGTGGCGAGTGACGTCTGAAGCGGCTGGTTCTGGTTGGGGGTGAGTGGAAGGTGTGGGTTGTAACACTGACCACTCAGATGCTAACCAGCCACTCGTAGGCAACCTGGTACTGGACTGTCGTTTAACAGTTGTTGAGGGTTATGGTCAGTGGCAGGGCTAGTGATGGCTTGCTCGCTAGTCGGCTCGTTAGCCGCAGGGTCTAGGACTAGCGACCGCGTGGAGCGGCGATGCCGTCGTTCAAGCACGGCGCTGTGAGTGCGACGGCCTGGGTTCGGATTCGAACCCACGGCTAGCATCGGTGGCGAGTGACGTCTGAACCGGTGCCTGGGCCTCCCCCGAGGTCGGCTCAGCCTGAAACGAGTCGTTGGTGCGCTGCGCGCTGGACGCAGTCGTGGGTGGGTGCTTCTTTGGAGCCCGTGGTGGTGTCAACGATGATCGTAGACAACAAAAATTGTATGAAACGGAAATGATTCATCAAACGGCGGTGACCTTTGCCGTGGCAAGGTTATCGCCTTCGCCCATCGTGAAGCGGGGACGTTCCGTACCGGCTTCGACCTTTCGAGTCTCATCAGCACCTAAGCGCATCTCGAGGCGAATCTGGAGACTTCCCAAAGTGGGAGAGGGGGGATTGTGGGCAAACGCCCCCCCCCCCCCTTACATGAATGGCAATACACAAAAACACATATCCCATGTAACCCCTACGGTAAATATCAATCAAATACCAATGTTGGGGCCTCAAGAGGGGAGGAGAGGGGAGGGGCACCCCTTGGATCCGCCAGGTACCCAGGCGCACGATGTCGCCTCATCAGCAGTCAAAGGCTACAGGTGTCAGGACAGAGCCGCGCGCTGGGGTTTAAAGTTAGCTGAGCAGGACCCTTGAGGAACCCGGGATATTCCCAAGGTAGAGCGATCGGTAGTCGTGGTTAGTTGGTTGGTTCGTAGTTAGTTGACGAGAGGTTGGTTAGCAGTTAGTTGACGAGAGGTTGGTTAGTAGTTAGTTGACGAGAGGTTGGTTCGTAGTTAGTTGACGAGAGGTTGGTTAGTAGTGAGTTGACGAGAGATTGGTTAGTAGTTAGTTGACGAGAGGTTGGTTCGTAGTTAGTTGACGAGAGGTTGGTTCGTAATTAGTTGACGAGAGGTTGGTTAGCAGTTAGTTGACGAGAGGTTGGTTAGTAGTTAGTTGACGAGAGGTTGGTTCGTAATTAGTTGACGAGAGGTTGGTTCGTAATTAGTTGACGAGAGGTTGGTTAGCAGTTAGTTGACGAGAGGTTGGTTAGTAGTGAGTTGACGAGAGGTTGGTTAGTAGTGAGTTGACGAGAGGTTGGTTAGTAGTGAGTTGACGAGAGGTTGGTTAGTAGTTAGTTGACGAGAGGTTGGTTAGTAGTTAGTTGACGAGAGGTTGGTTAGTAGTTAGTTGACGAGAGGTTGGTTCGTAGTTAGTTGACGAGAGGTTGGTTCGTAATTAGTTGACGAGAGGTTGGTTAGCAGTTAGTTGACGAGAGGTTGGTTAGTAGTGAGTTGACGAGAGGTTGGTTAGTAGTTAGTTGACGAGAGGTTGGTTAGCAGTTAGTTGACTTGCGGTTGGTTGGAACGAGTGGTGCTGGGAGTTTGTTGCTTGGGGTTCGTGGCTGGTTAGTGCGAGTGGTTGGGTAATGTTTTTGATTGCTTAGTGGTTGGTTAATGGTTGGTTAGTGCGAGTGGTTGGGTAATGTTTTTGATTGCTTAGTGGTTGGTTAATGGTTGGTTAGTGCGAGTGGTTGGGTAATGTTTTTGATTGCTTAGTGGTTGGTTAATGGTTGGTTAGTGCGAGTGGTTGGGTAATGTTTTTGATTGCTTAGTGGTTGGTTAATGGTTGGTTAGTGCGAGTGGTTGGGTAATGTTTTTGATTGCTTAGTGGTTGGTTAATGGTTGGTTAGTGCGAGTGGTTGGGTAATGTTTTTGATTGTTTAGTGGTTGGTTAATGGTTGGTTAGTGCGAGTGGTTGGGTAATGTTTTTGATTGCTTAGTGGTTGGTTAATGGTTGGTTAGTGCGAGTGGTTGGGTAATGTTTTTGATTACTTAGTGGTTGGTTAATGGTTGGTTAGTGCGAGTGGTTGGGTAATGTTTTTGATTGCTTAGTGGTTGGTTAATGGTTGGTTAGTGCGAGTGGTTGGGTAATGTTTTTGATTGTTTAGTGGTTGGTTAATGGTTGGTTAGTGCGAGTGGTTGGGTAATGTTTTTGATTGCTTAGTGGTTGGTTAATGGTTGGTTAGTGCGAGTGGTTGGGTAATGTTTTTGATTGCTTAGTGGTTGGTTAATGGTTGGTTAGTGCGAGTGGTTGGGTATTGTTTTTGATTACTTAGTGGTTGGTTAATCGTTGGTTAATGCGAGTGGTTGGGTAATGTTTTTGATTGTTTAGTGGTTGGTTAATGGTTGGTTAGTGCGAGTGGTTGGGTAATGTTTTTGATTGCTTAGTGGTTGGTTAATGGTTGGTTAGTGCGAGTGGTTGGGTAATGTTTTTGATTGCTAAGTGGTTGGTTAATGATTGGTTAATGCGAGTGGTTGGGTAATGTTTTTGATTGCTTAGTGGTTGGTTAATGGTTGGTTAGTGCGAGTGGTTGGGTATTGTTTTTGATTGCTTAGTGGTTGGTTAATGGTTGGTTAATGCGAGTGGTTGGGTAATGTTTTTGATTGCTTAGTGGTTGGTTAATGGTTGGTTAATGCGAGTGGTTGGGTGTTGTTTTTGATTACTTAATGGTTGGTTAATGGTTGGTTAGTGCGATTGGCGGGCTTGTTGTGTAGATTGACCCGTGGAGTATTTGACCCACCGAGTGTTTGACGCATGATTGTTTCACCCACGGAATGTTTGTCCTGCGGAGTGTTTCACCCACGGAGTGTCTCACCCGTGGAGTGTTTGACCCACGGAGGAGTGTTTGAGCCAGTGAGTGTTTGACCTAAATAATATTTGACCCACAGAGTGTGTGACCCGCGGAGCGTCTCACTCGCCGAGTGTTTGACCCCAATAAGTGTTTGACCCCGATTAGTGTTTGACCTCTGATCTGCATTCACTCTGCGCCGTGCCGCGTTTGCGCAGTGCAGGAGGAGGAGGGGGTGGTGGTGGAGCGTGCGAGGCAGTGCAGGAGGAGTAGGAGGGGGGGTGGTGGTGGTGGAGCGTGCGAGGCAGTGCAGGAGGAGGAGGAGGGGGGGGGGGGGTGGTGGTGGTGGAGCGTGCGAGGCAGTGCAGGAGGAGGGGGGTGGTGGTGGAGCGTGCGAGGCAGTGCAGGAGGAGGAGGAGGAGGGGGGGTGGTGGAGCGTGCGAGGCAGTGCAGGAGGAGTAGGAGGGGGGTGGTGGTGGTGGTGGAGCGTGCGAGGCAGTGCAGGAGGAGTAGGAGGGGGGTGGTGGTGGTGGTGGAGCGTGCGAGGCAGTGCAGGAGGAGGAGGAGGAGGGGGGTGGTGGTGGTGGAGCGTGCGAGGCAGTGCAGGAGGAGGAGGAGGAGGGGGGGTGGTGGTGGTGGAGCGTGCGAGGCAGTGCAGGAGGGGGGTGGTGGTGGTGGTGGAGCGTGCGAGGCAGTGCAGGAGGGGGGTGGTGGTGGTGGTGGAGCGTGCGAGGCAGTGCAGGAGGAGGAGGAGGAGGGGGGTGGTGGTGGAGCGTGCGAGGCAGTGCAGGAGGAGGAGGGGGGGGGTGGTGGTGGAGCGTGCGAGGCAGTGCAGGAGGAATAGGAGGAGGGGGGTGGTGGTGGAGCGTGCGAGGCAGTGCAGGAGGAGGAGGAGGAGGGGGGTGGTGGTGGAGCGTGCGAGGCAGTGCAGGATGAGTAGGAGGAGGGGGGTGGTGGTGGAGCGTGCGAGGCAGTGCAGGAGGAGGAGGGGGGGGGTGGTGGTGGAGCGTGCGAGGCAGTGCAGGAGGAGGAGGGGGGGGGGTGGTGGTGGAGCGTGCGAGGCAGTGCAGGAGGAGGAGGGGGGGGGTGGTGGTGGAGCGTGCGAGGCAGTGCAGGAGGAGGAGGAGGGGGGTGGTGGTGGTGGTGGAGCGTGGTGGTGGTGGTGGAGCGTGATGGTGGTGGTGGTGGAGCGTGCGAGACGAGCGGCAGACGCGTTGCTGTCCGCTGGCGCAGAGCGCCGCTCGCTCCCCACGTCATCGATCATTCCCATTGCTCATTCGCACGCAGAGCCAAGGGCATTGGACACACGACCGTGGGTATATGGGCATCAGCAGTACACCGACATGGGTATTGTGTAAGAGGCCGATGTTTAGTTCGTATAATATGCGGAACGCCCTCCAAGTCATCATTTGAATCTGCGCGAGCGATCAGTCCAGAAATCAGGTTTCATCACTCGATCAATAGATCCTACGCACATGTAAATACACATTTCGCGGTGTTTGTATACACGTGTCATTAGTTGTTTGTTATGTGGGTATGTGTGGGTGTGTGTATGCGTGCACTCGGGGAGTCGTGGTGTAGCGGTTAGCGCGCTGCGCTACGAATCTGGCGACCCGGGTTCGATTACCTGAACCGGTCCTGGGCCTCCCGTAGGTCGACTCAGCCTCAAATGAGTACCCGTTGCGGTGCTCGCTAACAGCACTTGCCCCTACAGTCTGTTGAAGGCTTTACGGGTGATCTTTGTATTGTATGTGTGTGGCGCAGCGGTGAGCGCGCTGCGCTACGCACCCGGCGGCCTGAATTCGATTCCCGCTTACGGCCACCAACACCAAGGACGATTATTTGAACCGGTCCTAGGCGTCCCCTAGGTCGACTCAACCTCGAATGAGTGCGATGTATGAACATCAGCAATTGGGGAGACAAAGGCGGCCGGGTGTGGCGCTGGCCACCCACCCCCTGTTTGTACCGGCAGGGTAGAGGCAGGGGGCGGGTGTCAGTGGTAACACCTTGACACACACACACTGACGTTGACACACGCTGACACACGCTGACACACGCTGACACACACACACTGACACACTCTGACACACACTGACACACGCTGCTACACACTGACACACGCTGCTACACACTGACACACGCTGACACACACTGACACACGCTGACACACACTGACACACACTGACACACACTGTTACACACTGACACACACTGACACGCGCTGACACACACTGACACACACTGACACACACTGACACACACTGCTACACACTGACACACACTGACACGCGCTGACACACACTGACACACACTGACACACACTGACACACACTGCTACACACTGACACACTGACACACACTGGCACACACTGACACACGCTGACACACACTGACACACACTGACACACACTGACACACACTGCTACACACTGACACATTCTGCTACACACTGACACACACTGACACACTGACACACATTGACACACACTGACACACACTGCTACACACTGCTACACACTGACACATACTGACACACACTGACACATACTGACACACACTGACACACACTGACACACACTGACACATACTGACACACACTGACACACACTGACACATACTGCTACACACTGACACACACTGACACACACTGACAACAAAGACACACACTGACACACACTGACACACACTGACACACGCTGACACATACTGACACACACTGACACACACTGACACACACTGCTACACACTGACACACACACACACACTGACACACACTGACACACACTGACACATACTGACACACACACACTGACACACACTGACACACACTGACACACACTGACACACACTGACACATACTGACACATACTGACACACACTGACACACACTGGCACACACTGACACACACTGACACATACTGACACACGCTGACACACACTGACACACGCTGACACGCGCTGACACACTGACACACACTGACACACTGACACACTCTCTCGCTCTCTCGTTCCACCTCGCAGTGGCGTCGGCTTCCTGGACGTACTCGTCCGCCAGGGTAACGTGGATCCGCAACCGCGGACCCCGCTGGTGCCGGGATATGAATGCGCGGGAGTTGTGGACGCGCTCGGGGAGGGCGTAAGGGACTTCGAGGTAAGACTATCATCATCATTATCAGCAGCAGCATCATCAGCAGTAGCAGCATCATCAGCAGTAGCATCATCAGCAGCAGCATCAGCAGTAGCAGCAGCAGCAGCAGCATCAGCAGCAGGATCATCAGCAGGAGCAACATCAGCATGATGAGCAGCAGCTTTATCATCATCATCAGCAGCAGTAGCAGCAGCATCAGCAGCAGGATCATCAGCAGGAGCAACATCAGCATGATGAGCAGCAGCTTTATCATCATCAGCAGTAGCAGCAGCATCAGCAGCAGGGTGATGAGCAAAGAAGCAACGTCATGAGCAGCAGTTGTCGTCACGATCAGCAGCTGGTATCATCAGCAGCAGCAGCAGGGTCATCAGCATCAGCAGAGTAGTCGCATTTAACATCATCGTCGTCGTCAGCAACAGCAGCAAGCAGATTGATCATCATCATCATCGTAATAATACATTCCTGTGATGGAGATTAATCTGTCCTACAGGCAAGGATGTGAGTGGGTGAGTGAGTGAGTGTGTGAGTGAGTGGGTGAGTGAGTGAGTGGGTGAGTGAGTGAGTGAGTGGGTGAGTGAGTGAGTGGGTGAGTGAGTGAGTGAGTGGGTGAGTGGGTGAGTGAGTGAGTGGGTGAGTGAGTGAGTGGGTGAGTGAGTGAGTGGGTGAGTGAGTGAGTGTGTGAGTGAGTGGGTAAGTGTGTGAGTGAGTGGGTGAGTGAGTGAGTGTGTGAGTGAGTGGGTGAGTGGGTGAGTGACTGTGTGAGTGAGTGGGTGGGTGAGTGAGTGAGTGTGTGAGTGAGTGAATGAGGGTTGGTGTGAGTGTGTTATTGTAGCCTGCGGTGTGGTGGCGATGAGTGAACACAGTGTGGTTGATGGCGTTCGTGATGGAGACAACACGGCCAGTGTCTGGTACAGACCGCGTCCTCGACACGGAGTGGAGGGATTGATGAGTGAACTTTACGTTGACAGCGACCTTGCAGTTGTCATAATAACAGCAGCGACACTAAGAGCTATGAGGAGGCGTGTGTCCGGAGTGGACGAGTCGCTGCAGTGACTCAATGAGTGATGGATCATCAGTCCCGCACCTCCGATTAGCACAGTTCTCTACGTACGGTACGAAAGAAGTTCAACACAACGTCCAATGCTCCCACGTGTAGCGAGGTAGGAGCTGTGGTGCTGACACCGCAGATTTAACATCATCAGCCGGGAGGTGGTGCTGCCAGACGTGGCTGGCTGTAATCTCCAGCCCTATTGTGGAGGGTTGTACGTGTGTGTGTGTTCGTGTTGAACTTCTTTCGCACCGTACGTAGCCAACCGCGCCAATCGGAGGTGACGGTTGGGGGATCGCGGCACCGATGTTGATGCGAAACTCCCTTCGCGTGGGCGTCCACGATGTCGCCCGTACCCTGTGACTCGCCAGGAGAAGGCGGTCAACAAGCAAAGTGTGTGGACTAATACCGCCATCTGTTTATTCTGTCTGTACGGCGGGATAGAGTGATAGGGGTTGGGGTAGTGATAGGGGTTGGGGTAGTGTAGGAGTTTGGGTAGTGATAGGGGTAGTGATAGGGGTGGGAGTAGTGGTAGAGTTTGGGTAGTGATAGGGGTAGTGATAGGGGTAGTTATAGGGGTAGTGATAGGGGTTGGGGTAGTGATAGGGGTGGTGATAGGGTAGGGGTAGTAATAGGGGTTGGGGTAGTGTAGGAGTTTGGGTAGTTATAGGGGTAGTGATAGGGGTGGGAGTAGTGGTAGGGTTTGGGTAGTGATAGGGGTAGTGATAGGGGTAGTTATAGGGGTAGTGAAAGGGGTTGGGGTAGTGATAGGGGTAGTGATAGGGTAGGGGTAGTAATAGGGGTTGGGGTAGTATAGGAGTTTTGGTAGTTATAGGGGTAGTGATAAGGGTGGGAGTAGTGGTAGGGTTTGGGTAGTGATAGGGGTAGTGATAGGGGTAGTTATAGGGGTAGTGATAGGGGTTGGGGTAGTGATAGGGGTAGTGATAGGGTAGGGGTAGTAATAGGGGTTGGGGTAGTATAGGAGTTTTGGTAGTTATAGGGGTAGTGATAGGGGTGGGAGTAGTGGTAGGGTTTGGGTAGTGATAGGGGTAGTTATAGGGGTAGTTATAGGGGCAGTGATAGGGGTTGGGTAGTGATAGGGGTAGTGATAGGGTAGGGGTAGTAATAGGGGTTGGGGTAGTATAGGAGTTTTGGTAGTTATAGGGGTAGTGATAGGGGTGGGAGTAGTGGTAGGGTTTGGGTAGTGATAGGGGTAGTGATAGGGGTAGTTATAGGGGCAGTGATAGGGGTTGGAGTAGTAATAGGGGTAGTAATAGGGGTAGTAATAGGGGTAGTAATAGGAGTGGTAATAGGGGTTGGAGTAGTAATAGGGGTTGGAGTAGTAATAGGGGTTGGAGTAGTAATAGGAGTTGGAGTAGTTATAGGGGTTGGAGTAGTAATAGGGTTAGTAATAGGGTTAGTAATAGGGGTAGTAATAGGGGTAGTAGGGGTTGGAGTAGTAATAGGGGTTGGAGTAGTAATAGGGGTAGTAATAAGGGTTGGAGTAGTAATAGGGGTTGGAGTAGTAATAGGGGTTGGAGTAGTAATAGGGGTAGTAATAGGGGTTGGAGTCGTGATGGGGGTTGGGGCAGGGAGTAGCAGCAGCAGGATGGGCTAGAAGAGAATGGTTTTACTAAATCCTCATCATTAATTGGCTGGGAAAAACATCTTAAAATATATATTCAATACAGCAGCAGCGTGGCTCTCGTGGATAATAAAATAAAGACGTTATTATCTATGAATAATAATGAGTTTTATTAGTATTATTATAACAGTACAGATGCAATGGGAAATCGCCTCCACCTCCGTTTGTGAGTCACTGCAACAGCGGCAAGAGACCGCGCGGCTCGCTCGGATGATTTTAATTAAAGAAGACAAAGAGGGCCGGGGACAGCTGTGACCTGGTCACCGTGTCACGCGGAATGATCACACGTGCACGCGCGCGTGCGTGTGCTCCATTCGGCTGTGTACATGCGAACGTGTGGTGTACATGTACACGTGTGTTTGTGTGCGGTGGAAGCGGCAGTGTATCAGTTAGCGCGCTCACTGCGACACTATCGCTCACGGCCAACACCAAGTGACGATTATCTGAGCCGGTTCTGGGCTTCCCCTAGGTCGACGCAGCCTCAAATGAGTACCTGGTGCAATGTGTAAACATCGCCACTAGGGAGACAAAGGCGGCCGGGCGTGGTATTGTGTTGTCCCGGCCTTCATAGGTGCTTGCTAACAGCACTTTCTCCAACAGTCTGTTAAGCCTATACGGGGGATGTTTGTCTTTGTGTGTGCGTGGGGAGCGTTAGTGGAGCGGTTTCCGCAGCTGCAAACGAACCCAGCGACCCAAGTTAAATTCCCACTCACGGCCATCGACGTCAGTGACGAAAACCTAAACCGGTAGTGGGCCTCCCCTAGGTCAACTCAGCTTCAAATTAGTACCTGACGCGACAAAGGCGGCCGGGTGTAGTGCTAGCCACCCATCACCTCGTGGACCGTGTCGGCCTCCACAGAAGCAGTGCGCTAACGGCACTGACTCCAGCAGTGCCGTTATTGTAACTTTCTTACCCGCCCCTACCGGACACCTGTGAAAAAGAGCTTCATAGCTTATCGGATTTCTCCAGGATAAAATAAAAGATTACGATTCTGTTAAGACTATACGTCCCTCCACGTCTCTCTCTCCCTCCCCCCGTCTCCCTCCCTCTCTCCGTCTCTCTCCCTCCACCCACCCCACCTCTCCCTCCACCCACCCCACCTCTCCCTCCACCCACCCCACCTCTCCCTCCACAGGTGGGGCATCGCGTCGCCGCCGTCGTCAACCTGGGCGCGTGGGCCGAGGTGACGGTGGCGCGCGCCGACCACGTGTTCCGTCTGCGGGACTCCATGAGCTTCGTGGAGGGAGCCGCGCTCCCCATCAGCTACCTGGCCGCCCACCTCATGCTGTTCGACATGGGGGGGCTGCGGGAGGGCATGTCCGTGCTGGTTCACTCTGCGGGGGGCGGAGTGGTGAGTGACGGTGGTGGGTCCGGGGGCGGGGTGGGGGTCATCGCGCACCCTGCAAGCTGCAGGGTGTCGCTCCGCTCCACCGCTGAATCTCGGGAACGCGAAGGCGGCTCGGCGTTAATTGTATTCAAAGGGGCGTAGCGCGGTTGTTTTTAAAGACATTGTACTCACCGCAGAGAACCGTAGCGACACGACCGCACTCTATACGATAGCTGGCGCCAAACTATGCAACACGCCCGTTCGCGTGGCCTTATGGAAGCCTACCGATAAAGTTTTATTACTTTAGTTTTTTTTCCAATTCCCTTCCGATGACGTGCACGCCATCCGATGACGTACATGGGATCGGAACGGGATCGGAATGAAACCAGATGACGAACATGCACGTCGTCGGAATGGGAAATGGTTAAATTTGTACATAATATGCACCACGCACGTCATATGCCCCTGCTTCAAACAAAAGAGGTGCGCTAAACGGGCCTGCCTTCGGATCAATGACGGGGAGAGCAGACGTTGGATTTTCTACGAATCTCTGGGGCGACCCGGGATGTTGACTGAGACTCAGGTCCAAGCGATCAGTCATCATCGTAAACGCTTTTCATCATCGGACATTTGGCAGTACGCTTCGGACACGGAATCTTGAGACTCGGTGAGGTCCTCCTGGGTAAAGAAGCATCATTTCGTGTTGTTTTGCTGCCCTTTCGAAGCTTGCGTTTAGTGTGGGGGACATCGGCAGGATTTGATGTACTTATGCAATTTGTACTCATACATAATGCATCTATGACTTGCTTACCTTTCCCCTATGTCTGCACGGCTATCGTTGCTCTTATTGTTCGGTGTTGGAACTCGTTAACCCCCGTGCCTCTTCCAGGACAGGTTTGAAAAAGAGCTTCATAGCTCATCGGATTCCTGCTCCAGTCTAAACCAAGATTCTGAGCCCCCCTCCTCCCGCCCTCCTCGCGCAGGGCCTGGCCGTAGCGCAGCTGTGCGCCTCGGTGCCGCGCGTCACTCTGCTGGGCACCGCGTCACTCGCCAAGCACGACGTCATCCGCGACTCCTTCACCCACGTGATCGACCGCACCGGCGACTACGTGCAGGATGTGAAAAGGTGGGGGGCGGGCGGGCGGGTGGCAGCCCCTCTCCCCCCCCCCAACCCCTCCCCTCATTAACTCACCCCCAGCTCGGTGCAGTATGTGAAGAGGGATGAAGGTGGGGGGAAGGAGCAGCATCACCCCCCCCCCCACGTTTCCCATCCCCAAACCCCTCCCCTCATCCCCCCAACCCCTCCCCCCAGCCACCCCCCAACTCCTTTCCCCATCAGCTTCGCATCCCCCTCCCGTGGGAATCCCGCACCCCATCCCTCCACACGGACTCCCTGTCTTCCCCTATACCACTCGCCTCCTACACTGTTGTATATCTTTGTTTTGTAATATTTTTTAATAATTGTTTTTTATTATCACCAAAGAAACGCGCAGCGTTCACCTCAGCTTCACCCACTCCCCATCCCTCTCATTCCCTCGGATTAATTGGGGGGGGGGTGGCTATTTGAGTCAGCCCCCCCCCCCCTCCTAATTAAATTATGCCCCCCCCCTCCTCCTCCTCGCAGAGTATGCCCTGGCGGCGTGGATATCGTCCTGGACTGCCTCTGCGGAGAGAACACAGCCAAGGGACTGGCGCTGCTCAAGCCCATGGGCACCTACATACTCTACGGTAGCCACGCAAAAGACATCCCCCGGAGTAGCCTCTCACGGACTGTCGGGGCAAGCAGGCTGGCATGTTAGCGAGTAGCAGCACCTCCGAAGGGCCGGCACGGCGCACGAGGGGGTTGGGTGACCAGCACCACGCCCGTCCGCCTTTGTCTCACCCGTGTGCTGATGTTTATTGCACACCGCTCCAGGTTCAAATCACGAACGGGCTGAGTCGACGCAGAGGGAGTCCCAGGACCGGTTGTGATATTCGCCAGAGGGTGATGTTTACACACCGCACTGGGGCAGTCATTTGAGGCTAAGTCCAGGACGGGTTTAGACAAATCGTCATCGGCGTGAGTTGTTCTTGAGCGGGAATCGAACTCAGGTCGCCGGGTTCGTAGCGAAGTGACACTAACCGCTACACACTGCCACTCTCCAAAAGATTCGCGCAGACGCACGCACGTATACACACAGCACGTGTACACACAGCACGTGTACACACAGCACGTGTACACACAGCACGTGTACACACACAGAGACACGCATGTGGATATCCAACCGGTGTGTGTGTGTGTGTGCAGTCGCCCACCAACAACATCAACTACGGGCAGAGGAGTAACGCTCACAACAACGAATTAGAGTACAGGGCTGCTAAAAGGCAGCGAGTTGGAATAGTAGAGGGCACAGCTGGCTCATCTGCCAGTCATCTCAGTCAGTCAACCAATGATCAGCTGGGTCTGTCCCGTGGCCTCCTGCCAGCAGCGAGCCTTTGACACTTCACGTGGTCTCAAGGCGCACCTAGCCTGGCACAGGCGCCGTGGCGAGGTCACCGCTGTTGTTGTGAAAGTGATGCTCCATCTCAAGAGACTTTTTTGCGGGCGAAATATCTAAGTTAATTAATTAATAAAGCGATCGGCACGCCGATATAATTAAATAAAGACACTGGGTTTTTTCTCTACTTTAAACATTTATTTTTATTTCACGCGGTGAATCCCCACTGAGCTATGTAGCTCTTTTTCAGAAGCGACCTGGCCACAAATGATAGCTCAACGACGTGGCTTACCACGTGGACATTTATAGCAGCTAAATACTCTAAACGCGTGCTGATGTTGATTCTAAATGTGGAGGGGAAAAAACCGGAGGACCCGGAGAAAAATCAACGCGACCGCGGGGAGAGAGAGAGACACACACACACGCAAGCTCCAAATATACAGCAGGCGTCAGGGTTGGGATCGAACTCACGACCTCCCGCATAACAAGCAAGGGAGTTAACATCTCCTCGCCACCGTGGCGCCCACGTTGCATTGCGAGAGTTGCTGGCCACATCGTCGTCACCAACTGCAGAATTCGTTGCAAATCGCGGCTGCTGCGCGCACCGCTCCAATAGGGGGGGGGGGGGGGGGGGGGTGCAAACACCGCCCGCACATCGCGGACTGAACAATCATCGCAGCGTGCCTGAGACGCTCTCTCGCTCTCTCCTTTTATCTCTCTCCTCTCTCCCTTTCTCTCTCTGTCTCCCCGATATTTTCCCCCTCTCGCTGTCTCTCTCTCTCTCTCTCCAATTTTCTCTCTCTCTCTCTGTGTCTCCCCTCTCCCCTATCGCACAGGATCATCGAACGTGGTGACAGGAGAAACCAAAAGCTTCTTCAGCTTCGCCAAGTCGGTGAGCGTTGTGGGTTTAGAGACCGCGTGTGTGGGTGGGTGCCTGGGGGGGGGGGGAGTGTGTGGTTGGGTGCGTGGGGTTTGTGGCTATTCAGGCCTTCATAGGTGCCCACAAAAACAGCACTTGCCCCAACAGTCTGCAAAGGCTATACGGACGACCCTTGTCTTGGTCTTGTGGGTATGAATGTGGTGTGTGTGTGGTGTTTGCGAGTGGGGAGCGATAGCGCTACGCTGCGCTACGAACCTGGCGACACGAGCTCAATTGCCGCTCACGGCCAACACCAGTGATGATTATTTAAACCGGTCCTGAGGCTGCCCTAGGTCGACTCAGCCTCAAATGAGTAACTCATGCGGTGTGTAAACATCGCCACTTGGGAGACATGGGCATGGCCACCCACCCCCTCGTGTACCGTGCCGGCCTTCATAAGTACTACTCGCAAATAGCCCCAAAAAAATCTGTAAATTCTCTACGGGGGATCTTTGTTTTTTTCGTCGGTGGTTGCCACCTCACCTGTGGCCGAGACGAAGCGGGGGGGGGGGGGCGTCTATTTGTACTGCCCGTAGCTGATCCAGCGACTCCGACACCCAGATGGGAGATGGCATTTAACACGGCCTGCAACCACGAGGCACAACTCAGAGCACCGAATCGCGGAGTCAGATCTCATGCTTGGGGTTGAGTTTCAAGGCATCTACGTTGGGGCTCGCGGTGTGTGGGTGGCCCCGCTGGGCACAGCATCACTGACGACTGCCCCACTGCACCGCGCTGTGTCCTGGTGGGAACGAGGGGACTCCACTCAGCTCCCCCCGTATCCCTCCGTATCGCCCCGTGTGTGTATCGCCCGTGTCCCCCGTGTGTGCGTGGGCATCCCGTGTGTCCCCGCTGCAGTGGTGGCAGGTGGAGAAGGTGAGTCCCGTGCGTCTGTACGAGGAGAACAAGCGCATGGGCGGCTTCCAGCTGCTGCCGCTCCTCTTCAGCGCCGAAGGCCCCGCGCGCGCGCGCCGCGCCATGTCCGAGATCACCACCCTCTACGACTCGGGAGCCGTGCGCCCTCGCGTCGACTCCGTGTGGGCCCTGGAGGAGGTCGGTACTCATCCACCGCTGGATGAGTCACGGACACTCCACGCCACCTCACCACGCGCATGATTGTGTTCGCGTCATTATCGTCGTCGTCGTCGTCAGACGTGGTTGATCCACTGCTGGATGATGGTCCTGCCCCGATTCAAGACGCTGTGTTCTGGTGGAACGAGCGGACTCGACTCAGCTAACACCGTGTCCCCCGTGTCCCCCTGTGCCCCCCCCGTGTCCCCGTGTCTCACCGTGTCCCCCGTGTCCCCCGTGTCCCCCGTGTCCCCCGTGTCTCACCGTGTCCCCCGTGTCCCCCGTGTCCCCCGTGTCTCACCGTGTCCCCCGTGTCCCCCGTGTCCCCCGTGTTCCCCCTGTCCGACCGTGTCCCCCCGTGTCCCCCGTGTCCCCCGTGTCCCCGTGTTCCCCGTGTCCCCCGTGTCCCCCGTGTCCCACCTGTCCCCCCGTGTCCCCCCGTGTCCCCCGTGTCCCACCTGTCCACCCCCCCCCATGTCCCCCGTGTCCCCCCCGTGTCCCCCCGTGTCCCCCCGTGTCCCCCCGTGTCCCCCCCGTGTCCCCCCGTGTCCCCCCGTGTCCCCCGTGTCCGCCCGCTCACTTCTGCTTCACACTCCGTCCGCTCGAGATCACATCCGTCCACCACGCACCTCCGATGAGCGCGGTTGGCTACGCGCGGTGCGAAGTTCAGCATACAGAAGTGTACAGTGACGAAATGTGCACCTACGGACTCTCTGGCCATCGATCGCGACGACGACGATGATGTCAAACATACACCCATCCATCGATCCATGCACGCATCGAATTGAAATCGCAAAAGCGAACCAGTGACTCGGCCGGCCGCGGTTCTGGACCTGTGGCTCACTCCTCGACTTGTGGCTCACTCCTCGACTTGTGGCTCACTCCTCGACTTGGAGTCTCTGCAGCGAAGTCGCGGGCCGCGTTTGGCTCGCGGGCAGCGACGGATCCACCCGCGTGCAGCCCGCGATTGTGGAGGCTCGCGGAGAGCTTCGTTCTGCAGATATCATGAGTGAAACACGTACACGTCCGTGTGTGTATATCTGTGTACATAGTGGGGAGCGGTAGTGTAGCGGTTGGCGCACTGTGCTACGAACCAGACGACCCGAGTTCGATTACCACTCACGGCCAACACCGGTGACGATTATCTAAACCAGTCCTGGGCCTTCCCGAGATCGACTCATAGAGACTCATCGAGATGCATAGAGACTCATAGCGACACACAGGTACTGATATAGACACATAGATATGCACAGAGACTGGGTGAACAGTGGGCTAAGTTTTACCAGATGGATAAACACTTTCTAAATTAATGAATATACTTCTGCTTGTGCCGTGAGTGTTAGGAAGATATATTTCTTGTTGACTCCATAACCTCGTTATTCCCCGCCGATCCCCTCATCACCTCTTCACATTTGAGTTGCAGCAATTCACCTTTTGTGTACATAGTGGGGAACGGTAGTGTAGCGGTTGGCGCACTGCTCTACGAACCTGGCGACCCGGGTTCGATTCCCGCTCACGGCCAACACCAGTGACGATTATGTGAACCAGTCTTGGGCCTCCCGTAGATTGACTCAGCCTCAAACGAGTACCTGGTGCGGTGCGTAAAAACATCGACACTGGAGAGACAAAGGCGGCCGGGCGTGGTTCTGGCCACCGCACCCCTTCGTAGGTGCAACTCGCTAACAGCACTTGCTCCACAAGTTTGTTAAGGCTATACGGGGGATCTTTGTCTTTGTGCGTGTACACATTTCTCATCTGCGCATCTCACGCTCCTCCACACGACCATTAAGGTTCAGCATCTGTTCCCCGTCCTCTCCGGAGCCCTGTCGCTCACGGCTTGACGTGTCTTCGCTTTGCTCGCCAGCAGATGTCTCGCCACCAAAACAAACGAGGAGGGGTGGGGGTAAGAGGGGGGGTGAGTGGTGGGGGGCGCGGCTGGGGGGTGGGGGGGTTCGGGGGGGGGGGTTGGGGGGGTAGCGCCGTCTTGAGGGAGATCTGGAACACGTGCTGACAGCTGGTTCCCACGCCATCCAGGTAGGTATTTGTCGGGCAAGGCAGGTATCTATTCGGCGGTTGATAAAAGATTATCATAGACTGATTATTAGCGAGCTCCTCTTCGGGTACGGTGCGGCCAAAAAAACACGCCCGGCCGCCTTTGTTTCCCCAGTGCTGATCTCTGCAGGTTTTCATTGTAAGGCTGGTTTCGAAATGCAGTGTCCCATCAGCAGCAGAGTCAGGCTTTACTTAAAGCAGTGCTGGTGAACTGCCAAACGTTCAAGGCAAAGGAGTGGTTTCGACATTCAGTGTCTCATCAGAAGCACAGTCAGGCCAATGCCGGTGAACGACCAGATCTGTATAGACAAGGAGCCTCTGTCTGTTCGCTGCGGCTGCAAGTTCGAGGCACAACTCCTCTGTGACAGCCCCCCACCCACAGTGCTGGTGTCAGTGTGGCCCTGCGAGTCTGCGCGGCTACGACCTTGGCCCGTGCCCCCCCCCCCCCCCCGCGCTGCCTTTGAAACGCTCGGATGAACGCGCGCAGAGGGGGGGGACACACAGAAGGAGAGGGGTGGAGGTGGGGGGGGGGGAGGGGCGGTGGAGGCGTCTCCCGCGGGGGCTGTTAAGTGGCTGAGCTCACGGCCTTGCAGTGGCTGCCAGAGACGCGAGGTTAGCCCCGCGCTGCAACACGGGGGGGGGGTGGGGGGGGGGGCTACGCCGCGCCGTCTGCGGCGCATCCTGCACGCCACGCGCCGTGCGTGCCTCCTCCTCCTCCACCCGCCCTCATCCTCATCTCGCAAACTACTCCTGCTCTCACGTTTCTCTCCTCCTCCACCCGCCCTCATCCTCATCTCGCAAACTACTCCTGCTCTCACGTTTCTCTCCTCCTCCTCCATCCACCTCATCCTCATCTCGCAAACTACTCCTGCTCTCACGTTTCTCTCCTCCTCCTCCTCCATCCACCTCATCGTCATCTCGCAAACTACTCCTGCTCTCACGTTTCTCTCCTCCTCCTCCATCCACCTCATCCTCATCTCGCAAACTACTCCTGCTCTCACGTTTCTCTCCTCCTCCTCCTCCTCCTCCATCCACCTCATCCTCCTTCTCTCCCACCCTGCTGCTGTCCGTGTCTCTCCTCCTCCACCCACCTCCTCCAATCCCACCCACCTCCTCCTCCTCTCCCACACACCTCCTCCTCTCCCACCCACCTCCTCCTCTCCCGTGTAACTTCTTCACCACACACCTCATCCTCCGCCACTCCCTTCTCCTTTCGCCTCCACCACCGAGCGCTACAAGCATCATCAGACGCCATCAGACACAACTGTGTGTCCAGCCCTTTGTCGACTCAGCTTTACTGGTTGTCGTGTGGAACGCATTACCACCGGCGAGACGAAGGCGGCCGGGCGTGGTCCTGGCCGCACCATCTCCTCGTGCGCCGTCCTCATCTTTCATAGTTGCTGCTACTGGCTAACAGCACTTGCCCCAACAGTCTGTTAAGGCTATACGGGGGATCTTTGTCTTCGTGTTGTACGTCCCGTGAGCTCACCACCGACTCCCTATGTGCATCTGGCGCTGATGTTAAGAGCACGTGCGTGTGTGTGCGCGTGTGTGTGCGCGCGTGTGTCTGCGCGTGTGTGTGTGCGTGGTGTGTGCGTGGTGTGTGTGCGTGGTGTGTGTGTGTGCGTGTGTGTGTGCGTGGTGTGTGCGTGGTGTGTGTGTCTGCGTGTGTGCTTGATGTGTGCGTGTGCGTGGTGTGTGAAGCGGTGGTGTAGCGTTTAGCGCGCACCGCTATTGAACTCGGCGACGCGAGTTCGATTCCCGCTCATGGCCAACACCGGTGACGATTATCTGAAACGGTCCTGGGCCTCCTCTAGATCGACAAAGCCTCAAATGAGTACCTGGTGCGGTGTGTCAACATCGCCACGAAAGAGACAAAGAGGCAATACAGGGGATCTGTGTCTTTGTTTGTGCGTAATCTTTGTGTGCTTGTGACAATTATCTTAACCCGTCCTGGGCCTCCCCTAAGTCGACTCAGCCTTAAATGAATAGCCGGTGCGGTGTGTAGACATTAAGCGTGGGGAGACAAAGACTGTCGGGCGTGGTCCTGGCCACCCACCTCCTCGTGTGCCTCTCCGGCCTTCAGTATGTCCTCGCGAACAGCACTTGCCCCAAGAGTCTGTTAAGGCTATACGGGGGATCTATATCTTTGCATATCCATCAATCGCCCGTTGTCAATCCACTGCTGGATGACAGCCGAGCGACTCGTCGCAGCATCCTGTAGCACCCTGTTGTGCACGGTGGTCGTCACGCACAGATCTCGGAAGCCCAAGCAGGTTTGAGCCTGGCCAAGTTCTTGAATCAGCGCGCAGCAGCGTCATAGCAGGTCGCTGCAGGCTGCTGCCACAGGTTAACAAACAACTCCCGCGTGAGCCGCTGGGAGGCCCTCATCCAGCAGTGGAGTATTGACCAAAGGGCTCCACTGCAGCACCGCATGACAGCACCGGAGTAGTAACACACCACCACCATCCATTTGCCAACCCATTTCTTTATCGAACTCATTCCATCCATCAGCACCCTCATCCTCCTCCTCCCACCCACTCGGGTACCTGTTGCCACGGCAACCCCGTCGAAGTCTAACTCGCGTCGCCATGACAACCCGTGACACACTCGCCGAGGCGGGAGTGGGGGGGGGGTCGCCCCGCTGTATTATTCAGGGGACGCCCCGCGGTGCAAATGTCGCGCCCCGCGGATTAAAAGCAGCAGCAGCAGGAGGAGGAGGCGCCCTGCAGCGTTGTTTTTGCGAAGGGCACAGCGGCCCTGCCGCTTCGACGTTGCTAAGCACACAAAAAAACCAACGCTAAGCGGCCAGCGACAAGCAGCACACTGTCGAAGGTGTCAAATTAGAACAAGAGTTCACAGGTTCCTTGAATTGAGCGAAATTATTTGTTATCGGCGCTTGGGAGGAAAATAGGCGATGATGATGGTTACGATGATGCTGATGACGATGATGATCATCATGATGACCATGATGACCATGATCATCATCATCATCATGATGATCATGATGACCATGATGGGAGTGCGAGGAGAGTAGAACCAGAAAGAGCAGTGAGGTGACCCGCAGTGTGGTGACCGGCAGTGTGATGAGTGAGTGAGTGGGTAAGTGAGTGGGTGGGTGAGTAACCGACAGTGTGATGAGTGAGTGGGTGAGTGAGTGAGTGAGTGGGTGAGTTACTGACCGGCAGTGTGATGAGTGAGTGAGTGGGTGAGTGAGTGAGTGGGTGAGTGACCGACAGTGTGATGAGTGAGTGAGTGGGTGAGTGAGTGAGTGGGTGGGTGAGTGAGTGGGTGGGTGAGTGACCGACAGTGTGATGAGTGAGTGAGTGGGTGAGTGAGTGAGTGGGTGGGTGAGTTAGTGACCGGCAGTGTGATGAGTGAGTGGGTGAGTGACCGACAGTGTGATGAGTGAGTGAGTGGGTGAGTGAGTGGGTGGGTGAGTGAGTGATCGAGAGTGTGATGAGTGAGTGAGTGAGTGACCGAGAGTGTGACGGTGGTGGTGGTTATGGGTTAACGCAGTGTGGATGAGACTTGTGGCGTTGAACTTCTTTCGCACCGTACGTAGCCAACCTGCGCTCATGGGAGGTGCGTAATGGGAAGCGGTCATTAGTCCGGTAGACTGGCGAGCTTGCTACGAGAGAACTTGGGAGACAGCTGACCAAGCGTGGCCATCGCAGCATCAATGAGCACTCGCTAACTCGTTACATTTGCCTCTCAAGGGGCAATATCAGTCCGCACAGTAGTTATTTGTGTGTGCGAGTGAATGCACGTGTGTGTGGGGAGGGGGCGGTGATGCAACGGTTAGCACGCTGCGCTACGAACCCGGCGAACCGAGTTCGATTCCCTCTCACGGCCAACACCAGTGACGATTATTTGAATCTGTCCTGGGGCCTTCCCTAGGTCGACTCAGCCTCAAGTGAGTACCTGGTGCGGTGTGTAAACATTGCCACTAGGGAGACAAAGGCGGTCAGGCGTGGTGCTGGCCACCCACCCCCTCGTGTACCGTTCTGGCCTTCATAGGTGCTCGCTAACAGCACTTGCCCCTACAGTCTGTTAAGGCTATATGGGGGATCTTTGTTTCGTGAGTCTGCCCAGACTGAGACGCTCCTGACAGATTCACAACCACCGCCGCCGCCATCACCACCATTATCATCACCACCATCATCACCATTACCACCATCATCAGCACCACCACCATCATCATCACCATCATCATCACCACCACCACCATCATCATCACCATCATCATCACCACCACCATCATCTCTCTCGTACTGGAGTTGTGCCATTTTCGGTCCGGGCTACTTACCCAGCGAGTCTGGAGGCCATGAATAAATCGATGTGGTTTGCTTGTGCATTACAGTAATGGGCACACCAATAATTAAAATGTAACATATATGCTGGTCAATGTACAATTCACTTCATTGCATCTCACAACGCCTCCTATCGGCACGACAGAGGGAGGAGCGGGAGAGGCAGCAGCCACACGACACAGCCACATGAGCCGGCGATACCGACACGTGGCGAAACTCCACTGCTGGATGGCACAGCACCACGTGATTAATTCTCACCCCCCCCTCTCCCCCGCCAATCTGAGAAGTGTCTTGTTTACCCCCCCCCCCCCGGCTCGCCCCCCTCCCCCTCCCCCCCTCCCCCGCAGGTGAAGGAGGCGATGCAAAAACTTCTTGACCGCAGCAACATCGGCCGCGTGGTTCTGGATACGGAGAAGAGCCCCTCCCCTCAGGTGCCCCCTCTCCTCCCTCTTCCCCCCACCCCGTGATTTAGTAAGCGAGTGAGTGGATTAATGAGTGATTTGGGGGTTTTTTTGTTGAGTGAGAGTGAAAGAATGAGAACGCGAATGAATGAATAATTTGGCTCGTGAATGAGTGAGCGAATGAATTGACGAGTGAGTGAACGAATGAGTGCGGTTTAGTGAAGGAACGAATGAGCAGGTTAGCGAATTAATAATTGGGCACGTGAATGAGCGGGTGCGTGAATTAATGAGTGAATGAATTGTGAATGAGTGAGTGTGTGGCTGAGTGAACGAGTCTGTGAGTGAATGAATAATTGGGCGTGTGAATGAGTGGAGTGAGTGGAGTGTGTGGGTGAGTGAATGAATAATTGGGTGTGTGAATGAGTGGAGTGAGTGGAGTGTGTGGTTGAGTGGGTGAGTGAATGAATAATTGGGCGTGTGAATGAGTGGAGTGAGTGGAGTGTGTGGTTGAGTGGGTGAGTGAATGAATAATTCGGCGTGTGAATGAGTGGAGTGAGTGGAGTGTGTGGTTGAGTGAGTGAGTGAATGAATGAATGAATAATTGGGCGTGTGAATGAGTGGAGTGAGTGGAGTGTGTGGTTGAGTGGGTGAGTGAATGAATAATTCGGCGTGTGAATGAGCGAACGAGTGACGCGCGACGTCGGCGGGCGGCGCTCTGCGGTTACCAGGGGCAACGCAAATTACGGCGATCGTTGCCGTAACCTGGCAACCGGTCCCATGGCAACCAGAGGGAGGGGTGGCGGGCGAGGTGGGAGGGAGTTTGGGTGGAGTGGGGATGGGGGTTTGAGATGTGGAGGAGTAGTGAGGGGTGGGAGATGGGGGCTGAAGGAAGCGGGGGAGGAATTGTAGAAGCATGAGTCACGGGGAGGAGGAGGAGGAGGAGAAGGAGGAGGAGGAGACGAGGTACAGAGCCCCCAGAACTTTGGCGGCATTGGCCTCGGGTTGCAGGTCGGGTGGGACGAGTGGAGTCCTCGGACTCAAGGTTCCACGGATTGAAATCCCGATGAGGGTTGACTCAGAACATCACGATGCAGCAGCAGCAGATGTAACTTCCATATGCATCAGCTGCAGTAGTAGTAACTTTCATCCATGATACTGGTCCAGTTAAGGAACGAATCAGGCGGACTTCTCCACAAATCTGGCTGTCGCCTAATGAAGCTAGTTGTAATTTCTGGCGAAACGTCGTACTTAGATTGTAAATGTTGTGGCCTAGCTCTCCAACACACCGGTTAGTGCTGTACTAGTGACGAAGTGGCACTTTCTGTTTACGTGACAACCCTTACTGGTTGGCCGTGGTGTCAGATTTTAACGACACATTTATATATTTACGCGATCTAACCCAAAAAAAAAACCTCTATTATGGATGATGTAGGTCGTAAAAGCCTCCTCCGACGTGTTCAAGTCACTTCCATATTCATCATCGGAATCATCATCAGCGGCAGTCATCATCACATTCACCAGCACGCGCATCACCATCGCATTCGTCACCGTCCTCGCGGCCATCAACATGAGCGGCGGCAGCAGTGGGCACCTCATCCAGCAGTAGATTGAGCACGGCCGTGGTGGCTGTGCGGGGCGGTGCTGTGGTGGTGGTGCACGCGAGCAGGGGGACCGACACAGCCCCGAGGCGAGCGAGGCCGCTGAGGAGGAGGACGCCGAGGGCGACGGAGAGGGGGGGGGCCGAGAGCAAGGAGAGGAAACCCTTCATCCGCTAGGAGTGGGGGGGCCACCCGCCCCCACCCCACTCTGCCACCCCCCCACTCTGCCCCCCCTCCCACTCTGCCACCCCCCCCCCACTCTGCCCCCCTCCCACTCTGCCACCCCCCCCACTCTGCCCCCCCTCCCACTCTGCCACCCCCCCCCACTCTGCCACCCCCCCCCCCACTCTGCCCCCCTCCCACTCTTGCCCCCCCTCCCACTCTGCCACCCCCCCCCCCACTCTGCCCCCCCTCCCACTCTGCCACCCGCCCCACTCTGCCCCCCCTCCCACTCTGCCACCCCCCCCCCCACTCTGCCCCCCCTCCCACTCTGCCACCCCCCCCTACTCTGCCACCCCTCCCCCCCCACTCTGCCACTACTCCCCCCCCCCCCACTCTGCCCGCCCCCCAATCCCCGCCCACCTTGCCAGCTCAGCGCTTCACAGAAACTGCCCACCGGGTTGCTTGACCACACCGCCCAGATAGAACACCACTAGTACTTACACTCGTAGTACTTACACCCCTAGTACTTACACCACTAGTACTTACACCCCTAGTACTTACACCCCTAGTACCTACACCCCTAGTACTTACACCCCTAGTACTTACATGCCTAGTACTTACACCCCTAGTACTTACACTCCTAGTACTTACACCCCTAGTACTTACACTCCTAGTACCTACACCCCTAGTACTTACACCCCTAGTACTTACATGCCTAGTACTTACACCCCTAGTACTTACACCCCTAGTACTTACACCCCTAGTACTTACACCCCTAGTACTTACACCCCTAGTACTTACACTCCTAGTACCTACACCCCTAGTACTTACACCCCTAGTACTTACATGCCTAGTACTTACACCCCTAGTACTTACACTCCTAGTACTTACACCCCTAGTACTTACACTCCTAGTACTTACACACCTAGTACTTACACCCCTAGTACTTACACCCCTAGTACTTACATGCCTAGTGCTTACACCCCTAGTACTTACACTCCTAGTACTTACATCCCTAGTACTTACACTCCTAGTACTTACACACCTAGTACTTACACCCCTAGTACTTACATCACTAGTACTTACACCCCTAGTACTTACACTCCTAGTACTTACACACCTAGTACTTACACCCCTAGTACCTACACCCCTAGTACTTACACCCCTAGTACTTACACTCCTAGTACTTACACCCCTAGTACTTACACCCCTAGTACCTACACCCCTAGTACTTACACCCCTAGTACTTACACCCATACACCCCTAGTACTTACACACCTAGTACTTACACTCCTAGTACTTACACACCTAGTACTTACACCCCTAGTACCTACACCCCTAGTACTTACACCCCTAGTACTTACACCCCTAGTACTTACACCCCTAGTACCTACACCCCTAGTACTTACACCCCTAGTACTTACACCCATACACCCCTAGTACTTACACCCCTAGTACTTACACTCCTAGTACTTACACCCCTAGTACTTACACCCCTAGTACCTACACCCCTAGTACTTACACCCCTAGTACTTACACCCATACACCCCTAGTACTTACACACCTAGTACTTACACTCCTAGTACTTACACACCTAGTACTTACACCCCTAGTACCTACACCCCTAGTACTTACACCCCTAGTACTTACACTCCTAGTACTTACACCCCTAGTACTTACACCCCTAGTACCTACACCCCTAGTACTTACACCCCTAGTACTTACACCCATACACCCCTAGTACTTACACCCCTAGTACTTACACTCCTAGTACTTACACCCCTAGTACTTACACCCCTAGTACTTACACCCCTAGTACTTACACCCCTAGTACTTACACCCCTAGTACTTACACCCCTAGTACTTACACCCCTAGTACTTACACTCCTAGTACTTACACCCCTAGTACTTACACCCATAGTACTTACACCCCTAGTACTTACACCCCTAGTACTTACACCCCTAGTACTTACACCCGTAGTACTTACACTCGTAGTACTTACACCCCTAGTAATTACACCCCTAGTACTTACACCACTAGTACTTACACCCCTAGTACTTACACACCTAGTACTTACACACCTAGTACTTACACCCCTAGTAATTACACCCCTAGTACTTACACACCTAGTACTTACACCCCTAGTACTTACACCCCTAGTACTTACACCCCTAGTACTTACACCCCTAGTACTTACACCCCTAGTACTTACACCCCTAGTACTTACACCCCTAGTACTTACACACCTAGTACTTACACCCCTAGTACTTACACCCCTAGTACTTACACACCTAGTACTTACACCCCTAGTACTTACACACCTAGTACTTACACCCCTAGTACTTACACCCCTAGTACTTACACCCCTAGTACTTACACCCCTAGTACTTACACTCCTAGTACTTACACCCCTAGTACTTACACCCCTAGTACTTACACCCCTAGTACTTACACCACTAGTACTTACACCCCTAGTACTTACACGCCTAGTACTTACACGCCTAGTACTTACACCCCTAGTACTTACACCCCTAGTACTTACACACCTAGTACTTACACCCCTAGTACTTACACCCCTAGTACTTACACCCCTAGTACTTACACACCTAGTACTTACACCCCTAGTACTTGCACACCTAGTACTTACAGACCTAGTACTTACACCCCTAGTACTTACACCCCTAGTACTTACACCCCTAGTACTTACACCCCTAGTGCTTACACACCTAGTACTTACACTCCTAGTACTTACACCCCTAGTACTTACACCCCTAGTACTTACACACCTAGTACTTACACCCCTAGTACTTACACCCCTAGTACTTACACCCCTAGTACTTACACCCCTAGTACTTACACTCCCAGTACTTACACCCCTAGTACTTACACCCCTAGTACTTACACCCCTAGTACTTACACCACTAGTACTTACACCCCTAGTACTTACACGCCTAGTACTTACACGCCTAGTACTTACACACCTAGTACTTACACCCCTAGTACTTACACCCCTAGTACTTACACCCCTAGTATTTACACCCCTAGTACTTACACACCTAGTACTAACACCCCTAGTACTTACACCCCTAGTACTTACACCACTAGTACTTACACACCTAGTACTTACATGCCTAGTACTTACACGCCTAGTACTTACACCCCTAGTACTTACACCCCTAGTACTTACACACCTAGTACTTACACACCTATTACTTACACACCTAGTACTTACACCACTAGTACTTACACACCTAGTACTTACACCCCTAGTACTTACATGTCTAGTACTTACACCTCTAGTACTTACACCCCTAGTACTTACACCCCTAGTACTTACACCTCTAGTGCTTACACCCCTAGTACTTACAGCCCTAGTACTTACACCCCTAGTACTTACACACCTAGTACTTACACCCCTAGTACTTACACACCTAGTACTTACACCCCTAGTACTTACACCCCTAGTACTTACACACCTAGTACTTACACCCCTAGTACTTGCACACCTAGTACTTACACACCTAGTACTTACACCCCTAGTACTTACACCCCTAGTACTTACACCCCTAGTACTTACACACCTAGTACTTACACCCCTAGTGCTTACACACCTAGTACTTACACTCCTAGTACTTACACCCCTAGTACTTACACCCCTAGTACTTACACACCTAGTACTTACACCCCTAGTACTTACACCCCTAGTACTTACACCCCTAGTACTTACACCCCTAGTACTTATACCCCTAGTACTTACACCCCTAGTACTTACACCCCTAGTACTTACACCCCTAGTACTTACACCACTAGTACTTACACCCCTAGTACTTACACGCCTAGTACTTACACACCTAGTACTTACACCCCTAGTACTTACACCCCTAGTACTTACACCCCTAGTATTTACACCCCTAGTACTTACACACCTAGTACTTACACCCCTAGTACTTACACCCCTAGTACTTACACCACTAGTACTTACACCCCTAGTACTTACATGCCTAGTACTTACACGCCTAGTACTTACACCCCTAGTACTTACACCCCTAGTACTTACACACCTAGTACTTACACACCTAGTACTTACACACCTAGTACTTACACCACTAGTACTTACACACCTAGTACTTACACCCCTAGTACTTACATGTCTAGTACTTACACCTCTAGTACTTACACCCCTAGTACTTACACCCCTAGTACTTACACCTCTAGTGCTTACACCCCTAGTACTTACAGCCCTAGTACTTATACCCCTAGTACTTACACCCCTAGTACTTACACACCTAGTACTTACACCCCTAGTACTTACATCTCTAGTACTTACACCCCTAGTACTTACACCCCTAGTACTTACACACCTAGTACTTACACCCCTAGTACTTACACCCCTAGTACTTACACGCCTAGTACTTACACGCCTAGTACTTACACCCCTAGTACTTACACCCCTAGTACTTACACCCCTAGTACTTACACCCCTAGTACTTACACCCCTAGTACTTACACACCTAGTACTTACACACCTAGTACTTACACCCCTAGTATCTACCCATCTACCGAGACCCTACCTATCTGCTCACTCAATATCCTCCCGACCTACCCATATTCCTCTCTCTGCATGTCCACTAAACTTCCGGGCAAATACGAACCCACCTACCCTGCCAGTCCCTCCTGATGTCTCTTTCTTGTTACCCACCAACCTACCCTAACTTACTAACCTGCCTACTCACCTACTTGTATGCCTACCTACCAGCACCCTAACGCCAACTAACCTGCCTAGCTAATGCCTACCTGCCTTGCCTACTAACTTACTCAACCAAGACTCTACCGACCTACTGATTTTCAAAGCTGTCCACCTGCATCCCTACCAACCTGCCGAGTTAACCACCCACATACCAATCTACCCATCCACCTATCTTCCTACCCACATACCAATCTACCCATCCACCTAGCTATCTTCCTACCCACCAACTTACCTATCTTACTACCAACCTACTTATCCTCCTACCCACCCAGCTAGCTATCT